AAAATTTGGGGGTCACCTTTCATTCTAAGGAGCTATAATTGATTGAAAATAGGCATGTTTTTGGCCTATTTTTGCTATATGTCGAAAAAAACGCGCACATGTGCTTTTATGTTCTATGCGCGCGTACGGCATTGCTATTGACCCTAAATGACCAAAAAAGATGGGAAATTTGTGAATACAGTGTCAGGGACCTAAAACATTTAAAAAAACAATATTTTTAACTTCTGTACGTGACGCGCGTGTAAAAATGCGCACGCGGTGCAGAAAATTTGAAAAATGTTGAAATGCTCAAAATGGCTTAAAACGTGCTCTAATTTAGTCAAAATATGATTTCGACCATTTTAAAATTTTGACGCATGCGTACGCGGGCGTTATGAAGCGCACGCGCAAAATGAGTGTACATTACAATCAACCTTCACTCGAAGTTAATGCTCACGTAATACGATTTCGAAATGATCCTGACGAGGGTCCTCTTTCTTGTGGACCCCTCTAGCGGTAGAAGTAGTGAAAATATTTAACCCTCAAAAATAGTAAAGAAAGCAAAAACATTAAAACAATAAAAATGGCATATATATAAAATGGCACTGCAGTATGACTGTTAAAAATATTCGTCACAATTATGCAGTTGCATCTCATTTGTGCATGTCCCATCGCGTTGTCCTCCATCGAAACCGTTGACTGTTGGCTTAGTGTATATACCTGGCTTAATATTTTTAACATGTGTTCCAAATAGGATACATCAGTGATTACCACAACAACAGTTACAGTGCCATCTTCTGGACCAGTCACAGCTGCTACTCACATTGAAACAATACCATCACTTCAGCAGAATTTCCAAAGGCCCCAACCACTACAGACTCGTTCAAAGCCCACTCGAGATCATATGAAGTTGAATCAAGGTACTGTATTCCAACACGATATTGCAGTGCAATATGAATGAATATACCCAGTAGATTGAATAAACGACTTTATATACCTCATACATAGATTCTAGGCATCTGATTGTTTAAGAAGCAGGGCAATAGAAAGTACTATTCCCCTCAAAAATAGTACTATTCCCCTCAAAAATAGTATGTACCTGTCTCTTATACACATCTAGATGTGTATAAGAGACAGATATTATACAGTATCATATAAAATATTATATAAATATATAACGTAAAAAACCATGTAAATTTTTGCTAAATAATAAGTGAATACATGGCGCCTCATTAACTAGGGTAGGGTGTACGCAGGTCCTTAGGACCTTTGTGAAGTAATGTATTTACCACAGGATGCATCAGTTAGTTTGAGGTATGTAGGGAATACTGGATACAGGTTTATAAGTATACAGTTAATTTTGATAAAAGGTAAAAATGACAAGATAGGAAGTAGTTTAATTGGATAAAAATAAAGTATAAAGAGGAACAAAATTGTCCATACAGAGTGTTAGCAAGTAACAGTTTTTTGCATCTGTATTTTAAAATTTAAAGTTTATTGGAAAACTTGTTTTATTGCAATTAATTGGGTTTTTTTTGTCGTGTATTTATATTGTGTTATATTTACCCATGATGGCATATGCAGCAATTAGAGAAATATAATTAAATTATACACTATTTTTTTTTTTCAGAGGCCAAGTGCCCCGCCTATGGAAGATGATACTCCACCCAAAAGAAGGTCTATAGAGGCAACAGCTAAGAGAGTGTGTATTGGATATATCAGTTTATAAATTGTTTAATGTTTTTTAAATTCTTCAATGGTTGTAAATCTCATGTGATTTTAAAACCTCGGTGTTCTCATATAAGCCTGGTTCATGTCAACTTATATCTAGATGTACATCCACTTATCTACAGTAGATATAATTTTGTTAACCAGTCAATTATGTCTAGATAAAGGCTTAAGCCGCCTATCGTTAAACGACTTAACTTCACTAGATTAACAGTAAATTAACCTACTTAACGCTAAATTTGACTTGGATTACAAGGACACGATTACGTAACGTAGGCATCTAAGCCAGCGTTGTTGTACCACTATTATCCTCTGGCAGGCAACAACATACTCCAACAATGCTAACAACAGCAGCAAAGTAGTTTCATTAGTCTGGTTTTCAGAAATTATTTGTAATATTATGGGTAAAATCCCAGTAAACGTCCGTTTTACGAATAGTCGATATTACAAATGACCTTTTCCCTTTGCATCATCGACCAAGTAATAACATCAAAAAGTATGATTGCGTACATTTTTCAACGTGATAATGTATATTTTTCTTAATAATAAAATCAGATTTGTTGTATTTATTTATTTACAATTCAATCTTTTCCATTTCCGCTATAATAATCGGTATTAATTCAGTTTCAACGAACTACCACCAACGCCAGTCGTTAAAATGAGCACACATGTTTACGATTTTTAAATTTTATTTTAATAAATAAAATTTTAATATAAAAAATAAGTGTGTTGAAGTCAGAACTTATTTGACACTGCGAAACTAGATTTTTGTTAAGTGCATGTAAACAACACAATTCAGCGATCTAAAAACTACAAAAAAACACGACAGAAAGGTCCATAAAGTATTCAGACGTTTTAATGAGAATTAAAACAATATTTTGTTATATGGGAGAATGTTAAATGGGAGAATTAAAATAATTTGGTTTTTATCAAAGGTAAATTTAGCTAGGGCCTAGTAATCTACTACTATTGCGGTAGACCATGCTGCTGCACTGTCGGTTGGTTTATACCACCTGGTTGACTATATATCAATGGCAGAGGATAGCTAGGCTAGGTAGTAGAAACTGACACCTGATCTACAGTAGTTTACAAATTTGTCAGTTTTTTTTTTACGAATACCCTTGGTACTAGAGGTTCGTAAGATACAGTAGACGTTTTATTAAACAAGCCTTTCCACCGTGTGATGTTGACGGCCTCAAGGTTGGCTGGCTGTTTATCTGTCTCTAACTTGGCTTCGAACGCAACTAGGGAAAATTGTACTATATTTCACTATTTAGATAGGCGGCTTAACTTCGACGTGAACCAGGCTATATTGTAAGTTTGAGCCAATTTAGAGGATTAATGCGAATTTGATGCCGACAGTTGTAATTTGATGATGGACCTACTATGACAACCCTATTGTAAGGTTTAAGCAGTTCAGTGGACTAATGGGAGCATGCTGCTGACCAGGGACGGTGCCAGGCATTCCCCAAGGAGGGGTCCAGCTCCCCGACAAGTGGTCAACACCCCCCCCCCCAAAATCGGTAAAACCTAGCGCACACCCCTATCCCTAAAATTTGACAGCATAGTGAGGCATACCTGAATTATGTTTTCGTAGTCAAGATTTTATTTTCCCCAAAGACCTTGCTGGAAATTCCCTGACAAGTGGTCCAAGTGGGCGTCCAGAGGATCCCGACGGGGGTCCTCTTTCCCGTGGACCCCCTCTAGCGGTAGAAATAGTGAAAACATTTAACCTTCAAAAATAGTAAAGAAAGCAAAAACATTAAAACACTAAAAATGGCATATATATAAAATGGTACTGCAGTATGACTGTTAAAAATATTCGTCACAATTATGCAGTTGCATCTCATTTGTGCATGTCCCATCGCGTTGTCCTCCATCGAAACCGTTGACTGTTGGCTTAGTGTATGTATTTGGCTTAATATTTTTAACATGTGTTCCAAATAGGATACATCAGTGATTACCACAACAACAGTTACAGTGCCATCTTCTGGACCAGTCACAGCTGCTACTCACATTGAAACAATACCATCACTTCAGCAGAATTTCCAAAGGCCCCAACCACTACAGACTCGTTCAAAGCCCACTCGAGATCATATGAAGTTGAATCAAGGTACTGTATTCCAACACGATATTGCAGTGCAATATGAATGAATATACCCAGTAGATTTAATAAACGACTTTATATACCTCATACATAGATTCTAGGCATCTGATTGTTTAAGAAGCGGGGCAATAGAAAGTACTATTCCCCTCAAAAATAGTACTGTACTTTTTTTACCTGTCGCGATGTGCAAACTGTAGGCCCGCTAAATCGCGCAGCTGACGGTAACGGGGACTACGACGAGATTATCCCCTGACCACGTCACGGATCAGCGAGTAGACGATAAACAAATATGGAGGCTGCTCATTTCGAGATGAAGGACTAACCTTGGCTTAGCATTACTTTTTGATGAAGCCGATAGCAAAATCACCAAAAGACAAATTAAATATGTCTTATTAATATTCGACAAATATATTGCAAGACGATGTGTGCTGTTGAAATTGAGGAAATAAGCAAAGAAGAGCTAGACACACTATTTGATCGCCTAGGCCTAGCTAGTCGAGTGGTAGTAGTAGGCTTCTAATATAACAGGCTAGAATGTAAGTACTTTTTTAGGCCTCGTAGAAACTATGTATGAGGTGTATAAACAGGGTTTTAGCTGGCCAAAAACAATATTTAGTTTTATTTTAAAACAATTTGGCTATTTCTGTATGAAAACTATTAGCCAAATAGAAATTTGATTAGCCAAAACAAAAGAATATAAGGAATTACAGATTTAATTCCATTAGCTTTTTGGCTAATTTGGAATGAAAATATTTAGCCGAATTCAGCTTTTATTAGGATTTGGCTAATGAACAGCTTAAACACTGATGAAACAAATATTGACTGCCCTATATTCGGGGAACAGTGTCATCTGTTGCCCCTCGGTGATGTGGAGACTGTAGCCTATCTAGATAGGCTACGGTCTCCACATCACCTCGGGGCAATAGATTTCACCTCATGAGCAGTCAATACTTGTATAATAATAACTAAAGTGGTAAACATGGGTCCCCAGAAATTCAGTGTTAAGTACACACTGAATTTGAGATCAAATTAGTAGTAGCAGCGATGTAAAACTTCTAGTATAAACAGGATCTATAAATTAATATTCTTAATTGTAACGATAATGATTATGTTTTGACCTTGGTGCAATCTTTTTTCTCTTTTTTTGATCTACTTGTTATGATGTTTTTTGATCTTTTTTATATTATATTTTTTATATTATCATAACTAAATAAATTAATAGTAATAATAATAACAATAATTATAATAATGACGAATTGGATAGAATATCGATCCTTATGCAATATTTTTCTCTTTTTTGATGTACTTGTTTTTTTATCTTTGCTGTTTGATTTTTTTATTGCTTTTTATTTGTTAACATAATTCGCAATTCAGCCTTTTGGCTGCTATGTTTTATGTCTTAATTTGAATTTTGAATAAATATACCATTTTGAATTGAATTGAATTGAATAATTACTCCACAACTTGTGCTGTTGATATACCATATAGGTATATCTGCATGACATAGGTATCTCTCACTCAACCAAGTATGGCTGATGTAATATTATGGTTTTTTCTGGTTCTTAAACTATCATTGTTCCTTTTGTCTGTCATATTATTGACTTCTTGTTGAGAGGCACCATGCGCCTTTTCCCTTTAATGGATACTTTATAAGTTTTCATTATTATTGTTATTGTTGTTGTTGTTGTTGTTGTTGTTGTTGTTGTTGTTGTTGTTATTATTATTATTGTTATTATTATAACTCTCCAGCTCCTAAATCACCAGTTCTGAGTCCACAAAGTGCCCCTTCACAAAGTCCAAAGAAGCCACAACGTCCTCATACGTTTGTAACTAAGACTGTTATTAAACCAGAATCCTGTAATCCTGTAAGTAAACTTCTATTGTATTTATAGCAACATCTCCCAATTGCAAACCTCCCAAATGCAAACTCTCTATTTTGCAAATGCGATTTATGGAGATGAAGTCTCCTAAAACATTTAAAAATCTACAAGAATAGACTAAGTCAAAATTGTAATAAAGCTCTTGTGATGCCTACATAGAATTGCTACAAGCTATTGTTGATTGTATGGAAATGATCAATACGTGGCTTCGCCCACTACTGACTATCAACAAGCCTAGAAAATGGATTTTTCGTACATTTGAACTGGATTCACATTGCATCTGAGCCAAATTTTGGACCATGTTTTTGATGCGCTGGATGCCAGCATTTTTATTCTTGCATACTGATTCGATTTTGTTGTTGGTTTGGTAGGCATTTTCTTTTATATTTGACAAAAAACTAGAAAATGATTAATGAGATACAGATTTTTGAATATTTAAAAACTGGAGGAAAAATGTGGGTTACAAACCTTTTTTTCCCATGTTTTTAAATATTAAAAAATCATTCAAGTTTTTTCATCGAATATGCTTTTTGAGTCTTGGAAAAATTAGTTTAATAATGATCGTGTAAATTTGTATAGCGCCGATATCTATCAGACAAGATGCTCATGCTTGATATGTGGACAAGTAACACAAACAATGACATTCTTTGCTCCTAAGAGTCTCTTTGTGTCTATGCTACCTGGTAACCTGGTACCAGCAACTCTCTTCGTCCAACACAGGCTGTTTAGACGAACACAGGCTGTTCTAGTGGTTGCACATGAGCCATTGTTCAACCACTAGAACCATAGGCGCAGATATTATGGTTGTAAGTTCCGGCGCCCCTGCCTTAACCGAAGGTTTTTCAACATATCAAAAAATATTTTTCTTCCCGAGCCTTGAAAATTGGGTCAACAAGTTTTTTTGCAAAGATATATATTTTGTTTAAAGTGCCTCTGCCACCTATTCTGACAATTTCTATAAAATACAGCGTGTTTATATTTATAAATATATTATAAACACAAGTGTTGGTCATAAATTACGAATAAAATTGATTTTGTACTAAAAAAATGAGTTTGAAGTGTCATTTTTGTAAGACCTTAGAAACAACGAGGTCACTCAATGACGTCATTGGTGACCGACAAAATTCATCCAAACGCGAAATCAAAACAAACACTGCGACGGCCTAGCGGAGGAAGAAAAAAGCAAGCATGTTGGTATACGGAGAATATTTCCACTCATCCTCATCGTATGAAGAAACAACAGATGAGGAAGACAATGACGTAAGCTGTTGTCCATACCTATTTATATGAACCTTGGTATGAAAAAGAAAAAAATACAGAAGATGATAATATTACGAATCCGAACTTAGAGTAGGCCTAGACTAGTTGGTGTAGGAGCGAGAGCGAGCCTCTCGTCGTATCGATAGATTGTTTACGTTACTATCTGCTTCATGGTTGTGCAATAATACCAAAAGTAGGAATGAATCACGTATATTATTATTATTAATGATTATTACTTAAAAATGGCATAGGGCCTAAGCCATAATTTTAGAGAGCTTTGATAAATACGGTGTACGTCAGAAAGAAAGCACATAGCTACCACCACATCCACAAACTTTTTCTAGGCCCCAAAATGTGCAGCGGACTGGGCTTGAATTGGTGTGCACCTGATCTATAAATGGGCGTTTCAGTCCATGCATCCTGTTTATTTGGAGATAATTACAGACGTGTTTGTTGAGAGACAAGTGCGTAAGTCAAAAGTAGTAAATAGGGCAATAATATTAATTATTTATTATTACTGATGGTGATAGATGTTGTTGCACTGAATAGTACTACAATATTTTATTATTATTTAATACTAGGCCAGGTGCGTTTGTACCCGTCATCACCAATTGAAAAATCAATCTGTCAAAAGAATCCAAGCACTGACAATGAGAAACTAGTCATTGTAGCAAAAATGGAAAAGATCAACATGGCAGGCCAATGTACCACTACTATCCACCTTGGTTTTCAAGCATTTGTTTATCATCAGTGTGTGCTCCATTTCTAATACCGATCAAGTAATATGGTGCCAGGGGTAATTCCACATTCGTTACAACAAAGTAATATGGTGCCAGGGGTAATTCCCCTGGCATTCGACACAAGTTGGAAAATTAAAGGAAATGAAAATATTGTATGTTAATATTAATAGATATGTGAAATTTTAATAATAATAATACAGTAATACTGTATTATAGGACTAGGCTTAGGCTAGGAGGAGGTAGGCCACACTTAATAATAACTTATAAGGTGGCCTTTCGCGAGTAAATAAAAAAGGTACAGTAAACGAGGTGGATTCTCAATGAATTATAAATACATTACTGTTAGGCCTAGACTACACCTACAACAGTACCTACATTCATGTATGTTATGTATTGTTTGTTGAATAATATCGTTGTTTTGTAACATCTTTGTAACGTGTTACAAAACTAATTCCTCCATGCTTATAACATTTAGTTGTAGGCCTAGGCCTATGTAGTATAGTTTAGACATGCCTAGGCCCTACATAGGCTAACATAGCCGACTTGGTTTCAACATGCATAGAAACATCACAATAAATTTAAAGTCGTAAACCTTTACAATTGTCTCTTTTGTCGTTACTCACTTTGGAATGGAAAAATCCGATGTTCTGTTTTTTGGGGTTTTTTTAGGTGTAGGTACTGTACGTACGGTATCATAAATCCTTATTTTTCCATCATAAATAAATAGTTCATGTGTATTAAAAATGGATAAGAAGAGTGTTCGCGTGTTTTATACATGTGACAGTGTGTGCGCGCGTAACAAACAAAAGTTATAATTTTGTAATAAAGCGCTAGCTAGAAAAACATATTTTTTATTCAGTCATTCATAGCGCAAGGAAAAAGACATGGATATGCCTAGGTAGATATAGGCTCTAGTAGAAACTTGAACCGTGAAGGCAAAATTTTCGATCTCCCTGGCCTTCAGCATCTTTTACCGAAACTGCTGCAAATTCAAGATTGCTTTATCATCAACCAAAAAATGGGATGTGATTTTTTTTTTGCTTGCTGCATAAGCCTAGACAGAAGACAGTAAAAAAAGGCAATTAAAATAAAAAAACAAACAACCTAGGCCTACGCTAAATACGGTACTAGGTCTACAGACTTTTGCAAGATTTGTTTTAAAGATGTTCAGCCGTAAACAATGAGAGGTACCTGTAAGTGATATTACTTATTGAATTACAGTCTGAGTCATAGGCCCACCAGGCGTAGCTAGGTAGCTAGGCCCCTAGGTCTATCTATGAAATAAGGCCCATGCCCATAGGCTGCTAGACCTGTGTGCGAAAGGGGCCCAGTGAAGAAGTAGAATTGCTTCTTTATCCCTATCCATCCATAGGCTATGCTTTGGGCTACAAGGAAGGGTGCACTCGCCTATGTAGGCTTGGCCTATTCGGTCTCATCTGTTATACTACTAATCAAAACAGAAAAAAAAATGGCGGTACATGTAAATTAACAACTGCAACTGGGAATTTGAATTAGGTCTTGGCCTATAGGCTACAGGGGCCAGGGAAGTTAAGACCACCTCATCCCCATCATTGATTAGTTTAGGGCCTAAGCCTTATAGAATGCGAGGATCCCGAAACCCGGTACTTAGCATAGGCTACTTGTTGTTTTCTTTGCCGTACTAGGCCTCAGGCCTAGCCTGGATGGATTCCTTTTTCTCACTGGACTTGATCGTCTCTGATTTTTAATAGTAGACACAGCAAGATTTGCATTGCAAGCCCAACGTCGTTTTGAATCCACATGAAGTGATCATCCACGAAGTGAGCACACGAATTCTTTTGACTTGTGCTCATCCGGCTCATGAAAATTTGAATTGTAAAATTGACAAATTAAACTCAACGTCTTTTACTATCTTTAGGTAACGTAAAATATTTACTTCGTGTGCACTTATAACCCCCCTACAACACAATTTACTGGCATATTGTGTAAAACTCGGGAAACTATGTAATATACTAACAGCCTAGGGTAGAAGTTCGGGCTTTTCTTCCTCCGCTAGGCCACCGTCGCAGTGTTTGTTTTGATTTCGCGCTTGGATGAAGTTTGGCAAAGTCGGTCACCAATGACGTCATTGAGTGACCACTTTGTTTCTAAGGTCTTTCAAAAATGACACTTTAAACTCATTTTTTTCGTACAAAATCAATTTTATTCGTAATATATGATCAACACTTGTATTTATAATATATTTATAAATATAAACACGCTGTAGTTTATAAAAATTGTCAGAATAGGTGGCAGAGGCACTTTAACTAAAAATTAGCCCAAAGTTTTTGTACCATGTTTCAAAAGCCACTTTTCAAGTCTTAATATTTTTGATATCCTGGATTTTATCAACCAAAATTGAATGACTAGGCATATATAATCAAAGCTAGATGTGTCTGTGATATGATATAGTATCGGACCTTATCAAAATGCATCAGATTACTATACAGTCAACTCTCCCAATACCGACCACCATTTTGGACCAACACTTTGACCAGTTTTCCGTACGGTCCGGTTTAGAGAACGTCATGTTTACCCACCTTGACTTCCTGGCCTTAAGTCGATACAGACAGGTACACCACACTGTACTGTATACCGACCCGAGAACATCCTTTAAAATGCATGTTTATTACTTTATTTTTACATTATTTATATTGTTCCACCAATTTTTTTTTTTTTTTGTGTATTATCAATAAGATTTACACATATCAAATTAATTCGTATGTATCGTACTATCATACAGTGTAATAGGCGGAAGGCTTCGTAGCTACATCGTTGTAGCCTGATATAGGCCTAATCAATCTACAAAGCGAACCTACAAAGCGAAAGTGTGTTTATTCATATTTGCAGAACGACTGCTGTAGCTTACTAGAATAAACAATGTATTGCTGGGTTATTTGTGTTTTATTCTGTCAAAAATTATGTCCTCAATAACAATACACACGTGTGAATATTTTGTAGCAAAGCATGGAGCTGTTTTTAAAAAAAACGTACACTTGAGTCTTTCCTTCCACTCGCTGTTAACGACAGGAACTTGTTTGTACTGCGGTATTATTTTTTTTAATTAATTAGCCTGAGGCCTAGCCTATTTTTTAATTACAATTATTTTACCTCTTTTATTGTCAAAAATTATGTCCTCAATAACAATACACACGTGTGAATATTTTGCAGTCTTGATTTAATAAGATAAATACAGGACAGTTGACTGCGGTTTGGTTTGCATAAATGTATACATGTGGACCCTGTATTTTACCTTTCATCAGGACCGTAGTCCCAATCATCTCGTTTTCTTTTGTTTCCTGATTGTCTGTTTTTACATAATTTGTAACTTTTTGATGTGATTTTGTAGGCCTACTTTTTTATGTTTATTGAGCTTAGTTTATTACTTGATTTTTTTGATATTGTGAATTTTTAATTTAAAAAAAATTATATTAATAGTTAAATATTTTAACAAATTAATTTTGCAATGCAGTTTCTCAACTGCAATAAATTATTTTATGTACAGGTATACTGTAAAACCAGAAAATTTTGAATGCATTAAACTTTCGCGAATTTCGCGAATGGACCATATTCGCGAAAATTTTATGCCGCAAATAATTTTCAGGTCACATGTTCTATGTTTCAAAAAAGATCATTAGAATACTATCTGATCAACGTGAATCTTGAATCAGTTTCCATAAAGGAGATAAATCACTAAATTACACCAAAAATTAATTTCAACTTTTTTAAAGATGATAATGAACAATAAACAACTTAATAGAATGTATTTCAATTATTGAATAAATATTCTGACCTTAAATTCCGATGTTGAGCTCAAAAAATTCATAAATTCTAGGCTTATTCTAACCTACTCAGTAAAGTATATTGATCAGGGAGGTTTTGATCATCACTGCATGTGATTGCACATGTCCAGCCATTGCGCAGTGTATACTGCAGGGATGATATTTTTCTGATTTAAATCGAATTTCCGATTTTTTTAAACATGAAATTGACTTCTCTATATTATGTCAAATTCGTGGAGTTTTTTTTGGGGGGGGGTAAGGGTGGTATTGGTAATGGAGGTCAGTTTGTAATGTCGTGTAATCGTTTTTCATCTTCCTCTCTGAAGCTTTATTTAAAATAAACACGCAAAATTCACCATGTTGGTGGCGCTATAGTGATATTAATTAACCGACGATCGGTTCTCTTGCGTTACTGCCATTAAAGAGTATATACTCTATGCTGCCATGTACTACAAGCACGTTACAGTAATGACAATCTTATTCATCCATTGGTCGGACCTATAGTGTGTCTATCGAGCTTGCAAAGAAAAGAAAGCATGCGTCATATCATTCGCCGCCCGTTATACCGTTTCGGAATTTGCTTACTTTTGTATTTACTTAATTCGTTAAATTAATTAAACCATGGCTTCGCTAAAATTTGTGAAGCGGAAAGATGAAGGAACAAGGAAGGAAATAGAATAGATTTGTTGTTCAACCCCGAGGCCTAGCGCAGCTAGGCCCATTCTCTAGGCCTGACATTGTCGCGGTGATAAGAGGCTTTAGCTCCGGGACAATGTCTAGTCTAGGTCTAGATGGCGTCGCGAGGGCCTACAGCCAACCCCCACCCCTGGAAATCCCCGGCTATGCCACCTCGTTCCTATTTTTTTTCTACACCTGAATATCATCACTGATACTAAGAAGTTAAAATAGAAACAAATTTTTGTACATTGACATACGACGATGTTCAGTCATCATCAGTCAATGTGTTTGAATCAATATTATGCCTACAGGAATAGATATTGTTCATTGTAGGATGCTTGAATACCATACAAAGTTTAGGAATATTGTATGATAATGTATGTAAACTTGTGTCTTTCTTAACTGTGCCTGGGATGGCCAGCTAAGTCCTGGTCCTAGCAGCTGAGGTAGGCTGCAGGCTTATGGTGCCTAGCCTAGGCCTAGCTATTGTAGCCTAGACAGTGGCTATAGGCCTATCTAACCTAGGCCTAGAACTCACAATACGATATTTTCAGCTATTGTATGGTATTCCTCTCATGAATAAAATTTAGGCCTTTTTCGATTCGCAAAAGTTTAATGTCGTGAGAAAGGCCGAAATTATCAATTAGCGAAAGTTTCATTCTGCGAAAGTTTCTGGTTTTACAGTATACAGTATTTGATTTTAATGTGAATAAAGATACCAAGATCATCATCAGATAAGATAATAAAAGCTAAATGTGTCTATGGTATAGTATCCCAAAGCTATGCAACTCCCCAATGCCTGTCTGCTGTAACATTAAAATATTTGCTCTTGTTCTTACAGTGTGGCAAGAGGATTAAATTTGGCAAATATGCATTGAAGTGTAAAGGTACTTTAAATTTATAAGTTGTCTTTCCTCATCAGTTTGTTTCAATTTTTTTTGTTAGTTTATAAGTCGCGGCTGAAGACACACCTTTTTTCTTCTGCCTTCTGTCCATAATCATATTCACATACTCTCGACCTAACTGAAATCAATTACTTTTGTTGTTGTAAAGCACATAGAGAAGTTTGATATGCGCTATATAAATAAACAGTAATAATAATAATAATAATATGTCTTTATGTGCATATATATTCATCAACTTATTCTTGGTTGCAACCATAGAGCTATTAAACAACTAGAGTACTGACTTGGCAACGAAGCAATGCAGAGTTGTGTATGCGTACCATCAAAGATGGCTGCCGTAGGAAATCGCCACCTTCAGGCTTAGTATACATATTAACCATAAATAAGCCCTCTGACTAATTATTATTTCATCTTCTTATGGGCAAACCTAATAGTTGAAGGCTTTGGCCCAGTAGCTCTTTATTTTATATAAAACTTTAACTACTTTTAATAGATTATTAACTAAGTGGAGTATCTGATTTAAAAATAGAGTACTGAGGAATGAAAATTTAGATCGTGTACATTACACCCATACACTGCAATGCACATCGGGTAACTTAGCTGTAGTCAACTTTTGTGTGTAAATTGAGGGTGCCATTGAAAACGCCATTGATGCTTAGGCAAATTTTCTGTGGCAGCCATCTTGTATGGTACACACACACAGCTCTTCATATCTTGGACATCAAATATATTGCACTTAGTGCTGTAGTATTCTTATAACTATGGCTACATTCAAACCTGAGAGATATGCCAGGCATAATGCTGGGCGTAAATTAATCCATGGCGTAACTAGCAAAATGTTTAGGTTGGGCGATTAATGTAATGTTAGCGTAAGTGTTTGTATTCGTAATCATGCATTTTATTGTTACAGTTTCCTTTTTACATCTAGGCTTATTGTGATTGGTCAAATCCTCGCCAAGTTCAAAATCGTTGATGCATGACTGTAATAACTTAGTGGTGTACATTAATCTGGTGTCTGTTAGGGTTGATTATCGTATGGATTATGTGTTAATGCTGGTGTTCGCTACGCTTCGCACAGGTTTACACAGCCCATGAAATTAGGAAAGAATTAGGTTGGCAAAAATTTGCCAACCATAAATTCTGAGGTCGGCAGCAATTTTTTACTACCTAGGCCTATATAGTATAAACTACGATTTTTCCGAACGCTCGACCTTACATCGTCATCTACAGATTGTGATTTTGTTAATTTCTCTAAAATCAATATATTGCTGGTGAAAGAATGGTCGTACTTGTATTAATTTAATAGTGTAGCATAATATTATGTTTTACACAAGAAAATCGTCGAATAGATTTCGTTTTAGCATTCGTTTTATCGTTTTATCTTTGGCATGGGAACTTTCGTAAAAGCTACAATCGTATCATCACAGCATCACAGGCTGCTTCAAAAATGCCCATGCATGTCCATGCGCATGCCCAGAATGATCTATTAGGGATTTTCCACACATGTACAGTACTTGTCAGTAGTGAAGTCACGATGCGATCGTGATTGCATTTAAACGGACGGTAGGATTAGGCCTAATATGTTGAATTTTGCTGTTTTTAGATAATGAACAACATTTTAAATATTACAATAATATTGTAAAATGAAGACAAATAATAGATTTAGATAAGCATTACGATCTACGCGGCCCACATGGCTTTAATTGGGCAATGTTGTAGGCTTTGGCTGGCTAGCGTCATTCCTAGGCCCAGCCTACAAAACGACTAGGCGAGATTGAAAGACAAGATAATTGTACACAAATCGTATGTACTGCATGCCTATTAGAAATAATTATTGTACAAACAAATCTGTTTTATGAACCACCAATTTCCTTGGGTTGACGACGTACATGAAATTTAGTGTCTGATATAGCCTGTTTCATTAAAAGTTTTTGACTTTTCAAGCAGTTTTTGAACCAAAGAAATCTAGGCCTAGGTCGGCAAAACCTGTAGCAATTCTGGCTCAGCAATATGGTCGCCGATTGCCAACGTGAAATTCGTGGGCTGTTTACACCACTCGATTAACAAAACAACACTTGATTTGAGTTTTATCTAAAAGACCAATACCGCTACTGATTAACTGTAGGTAACTAAGTATAAAACTCAAGTACTAAGGGCAGACAAGCCATTCTGATTCAATATTTCGATCTTCATTTAGAACATCATCTTTAATCACGGCTGTTGCAACCACACCGGCCACATCAGCTATAGCCGGACCACTTTTTTTCGTATCTTGTCTGTACAGATAAATGTCCTTGGATGGAAGTAAAAGAACCAGACTTCACCTTAGTGTGATAGTGTTCACAAGGGTCCCTAGTCTCATGAAACCACAGGGCCTTCAGCTCTGGTGTTATACCACTGCTGTGTAACTTGTACTGCAGTATACCTTATTAAATCGTAATTATAATTATAGTTCATTAAATTTTACAGAGCTGACCATAGTATATGTAAACTTTATTGTATTCCCAGCATAGGCTTAACCAGCGAGCCAACAATTATTTAGGACCACCACTTTTACTTGGACGGCTTGGCCTCATCAGCTCAGCCTAGCCTAATTGGACCTGGTCAAATTCTTTATATTCTTGAAATCCATCGAATGTTACATTAAACTAAAGCTAAATCATATTTACGTTTGATAAAAACAACCTTTATTGATTGAATGTACATTGTTTTCATATCAATATTTGGTGGGGATTCCCAAAAAGGCTTAACCATTGCCTACCCGATAAAAAGTTCACTTACAACACGCGTCGTGTTAAAAATATTTATACCCCACGCTGGAAAATGGCTCTGCAAATATAATACTTTGGTTCCCTGACATAATATTCTTGGTGTTCATAAGTCTCTGGTTATAATTAATGAAATAACATACAGAAGATTCGTTGTTAAGGTTACATGTTAAATTTTATCAGTCAACAAAATACGGTAGGCCTATCTTTTGATTCGGAGGAATGGATAGATTAGAACTTACACTAGACTAAGTCGAGAGATAAAGATGCAGCTGCATAGCCTAGAAACATTATGTGAGTAACTGTAACCGTGCACAATCTATGTATGTAACTGGAATATCTTTGTGATAGCTAATTCAACACTATTTCTTTGAAGACAAAATTCCAACATTTAAACATCTTTAAATGCCCTCTAAAGATCATAATTTTCTTCTTTTTTTTTTTTTTTGTTGTGTTTGGCTATGTCAAAAGTATGTTGCATGAGAGATAATTTCCAGCTTACCCCCACTAGAAAAATCGAATTTCACCTATGAGGGGTACCCCATGGGTGTTTAATGGTTTTTGGCCAGGGCAGTGTGTGCTTGTGATAGATGCCAATATTTAGTGGCCGTTCTGTTCCCAGTATGGGAAATCCCCGTTTTTACGTACTTGGTGGTCATGAACTTTACACTGGAATACGTAAAAACTGTCCAGCATACACCACGTTTAAAATGGTTCACTGTACAATACAATCTGCAATGATTACTCGTGCTGGGTGTGCCTGCGCTTGCAAACTTTATTATTTACAGTAAAGTACTTCGTATATATAGTAAAGACAGAACCAAAGTTATGATAAAAAACAATAGTCTAGGCATCGTTAGTTTGTCGGGGAATTTTCGGCTACACCCTAGACTGCCTATACTAATTTGCAGACAGACAACTCGTGTTTTCAAACAAACTATGTTGCTCTTGCAACACGTGACTATGTTTTTAAGGTACAGCCAAGCAAGCGCCTGGCAAACAACATTCTGACTGGTGCAAGAATCCATTGTCGTGTTATTAATGACTATTAATTGGGGAAAAAACTTGTATTTGTGCGTGATTTTAAGGCTGGGTGGAAGACCTTAAAAATGGCTTTAGGATGGGCACCAGACGTCAAGGCTGGGCGGCCCGCCCACCTCCGCCTAGCCTGGGTTCCAGACCCTAATTTTAGGTTACTCACTCTTTATTGCACTTAGTGCGCGCCATACCTAATTTAATTGGCGTCCCATACTCGATTTCTTTTTTTTCGAATTAGGGCCTGGGCAAACGATTCATGCGTGCAATTTCCCACATCAAATTTGATGTGGGATATCGTATGCATGACTGATTTTGTAAATCATGTGATTGGCTAACTTCGTGCATATTAATCAATCTTGGTAAATTTTCAAAATTGAAGATGCGGATGTCTCGACTAGAACAAGCTCCAGCTCCCTTTTGGCTACCTACTTGAATTAAAACAGTTAGTATAATAGTTCTGGCCTGCTGAGAACGACATGGACTGATAACCGTAGGCTAAAGGCCTACTTGGAACCTTGCTCACCGCTAGCTGCTACACAGATTTAGGCCTTTAGGGTAGAATATTGTTAAAAGGTAGGCCTCTGTAAGTAAGAACTTAAAAATAGGCCAAGCCTCTACTAGTCTAGGCTAGGCCTACTACCTGACTCCAGGCGAGGCCTGAGCCATCCTACTGGAAAGTTAAAGTTTTGTTGTATTTGTATGGTATGCTATCTAGTCTAAGCTTAATTGTTTTTGCCATTGCCAAAATTAGTCTTACTAGGGTCTATTCTAAATATTTTACTCCCGTTTTATTAGGGAGGACTATTTAAATTTAGTCATGCCTAACTAGTCAACGCGAGTGACTCAGTTTCGTGGCTCCAAAAATATGAACATTTGATTGGTTGAAATTGTTTATTTCGGTCCGCCCATTTATCCAAATACGGAATATAAGATTACGTCATTCTTTTGGCATCCTGGTGCCTGATTTCAGTGTTTTACAAGTCGCTTATTCCGTCTCTAAATTAACTTTCTCGTTGGTGGCGCTGTCCAGGATGAGAAAAATAATAAAAAAATAAGAGACTTGTGGCAAGTCTAACCTCCACCTTGCATAATGACATCCCTGGGTAAACATTTATTTCCAAGCCAACAGTGAAAAATCACCACATATGAGGCATATCGTGGCAAAATGGTTAAGTTGTCGCACAGACCAGTATTGAGTAAAGGAGCTATAAAATATAGTAGCTCAAAAAATTGCCTAAAAATCCATTTTTTTTTTCACTATAGATCAACAGTTTAATGTCTTATTAATCATGTCCCAAAGTATTAGTTCTGGAAGTGATCAACAAATTGTTTATTTAATGTTATTTAGATAGTTAGTTCTATTAAACAATGTATGTACAAATAACTTTGGAAGGCAATTACTCAAAATCATGTTTATCTTGACTCTAAGAGTGCTGTAATTTTACTTTCCAATAATTTTGGCTTGAAATGTCCAATTTCAATGAATGACCCCTCATTTTAAAGATCACATACTCAGGTATCTGAAAATACTAATAACTTGAATTTCAATTTTTGCTACAACTTAGCCATTTTGCCACAACGTGCCTCATATAGGATGGATGCAAATTATATATAAACTCTTAAATATACAGGAATACAAGCAAGGCAATCTAAAAATACATTGTGAAATGTTTAAAACTATTTAAAAAGATATAAATGTTACTATTTTGATTAAGCAAAGTATATTTGATAAATAATTTAATATTATAATTTGTAATGTCTTTGTTAATCGTTTGGTAGACCTAATATTACTTACTAGTTTATACTGTGTAACAAGGTTGTACATATAGGCCTAATAATAAAGAACCTCCTGAAAACTACAAGCTTCGACCAAATCATTTGCAAAAACAAGTGGTTTTTTTTAAAGACCATGCCAAGCTTCAAAGTAATTTTGACATTTATGTTTATTTTAATATTGCTAATACAGCATAAAATTCATTTTTTGTATCTTGTCTTCACCCCCTTGCAGTATGACCAAGAACAACACTATTTCACAGTTAATACTGTTTTGTTACTGGACGTATGTTTGATTGAATAATACTACATGGCTGGATGGCCAGATTTATATTACATTAAATTTTGATTAATTTTAAATTTTAAATTTTAAATTTTGTAACTATTTCTCAATTTAAGTTTCTTCTTAAAACTCACCTTTTTCCATAGTTCATATTTTTTTAGCATTGGTAAAGAGCACTACATAAATACTAAAATATTTTTATTATATAATTTTGATTGCAGTATACCGTACATTGCATACCTTTCCATAATACCGTACTGTCTAGACATTCTTATTGTTTTATTGCCAGACGAAAGCATAACATAACAATTATACAGAAAATGAAAAACAAGACTGAGCTGGTTGGCATCATTGACATCATTTTTATTTTACATTAATGTCACAACCCATAGTTTGAATACCAGTTTACAGATACAGATACACTATATTATTATTCACATTGTGTTCCATTACAGCTACAGTTCAGTGTTAATAAAGATAATTAATACCCTTAAACATAAACATAATTACTGTACTTTTCATGATATTTCCAAATTTGTATGCGCTATAATGTTTTTAACTATTTCAATATTTTATAGGTTTTTTCAAATTTTCATATTTTATATTTATATAATTTATAGTAAAGGTTATTAGGAATATTCTAAAGCTTGGTACTCACTGCGCCCGATATTTGTCGGCCGACGTGATTCTATGTAGAAAGCACCACCATGACGCGCGCGCAGCAGATTGTTCTGATGGCCACCGACAATCAGCAGAGAGCGACGCATCGTCTATCGCTCACAGATAGCGGATTTGTGGTCGTTGTACGTACAACGCATTGAGTGCGCAGCTTGAGAGAACAAATAGTAATATAATAAACAGTATTCAATAGTAAATAAACCATCTTATGTACCTAATAGATTGCCGTGCAGTTTGTCATCCAGACTGTAAGGAGATGGTAGCATTGCCCTGTGTTCCATCAGCAAGTACTCCAGGTAAAAAATTATCCAACACCTTGGGAGACTATGTACCAACTTCGAGTCCTTTGGTTCCAGCGATAGTTGTAAGTAATAATATATCATACTTATTGGCTTGTTTTGGTACAGTTGTTATAATTCCTACATGTATTTATATTTTAAGATTGAATTTACCTAGGTCAAGTACTGTAGTAGTTTAGGGCTGGTAATGGATAAAGTATATATTCATGTCATAGTCAAGTCCACAGCTGTTGAGATTGTCGCCTTAGCGACAGTAATTTCATCTTAAGGAAATGCGCTATGCGATGCTTCTGAAATTTCTGTAAGCAATTATTGATTATTGATTATTTAATCAAGAAAACGAGAGATTTTAATCTTCCTCCCATACTGGTATTTATTAAGTATTACAGAATCTACAGGCATCAATTTCACAATATCACAATCAGTATCACAAATCAGATAGGTTTCGAAAACCGATTTCCATTATCAGTGTGAAGCTTGCTAGTTATAGTACACTTATTTATAACAACTTACACCTGTGTAAACCATAATCTCGCTAAAACATATTCAGCAACTGTAGAAAAACGTGTGACCATTGTTGGTTTAAAGAGGGTTTTTCCCAATTCAGGTATAAAGCCTATGTAAGTAAAAACTGGTAGGAAGTATTTACAGATTCCAAAAAAGTGAAGCAGCTCTCACCAGAGGGCCAGCAACAGGATTCTGCACTCTGCAAATGTTGGAAGATGTGGGAGACCTTGTCCAGGACAAAATGCTCCCAGACTCGTGTATCATTGTGAAATGATGTAGCACGTTGTTCCATAATAAATATAGTGGAGAAGGCGATGACAATAAAACAAAAGCTTATGCCTATGCCAGGAACATTCTATTGTGTGTCTAAATTACACAAACTTCCCAAACTGATAGCCGACGCGACTGAACCAAGAATGCCTCTGCTCGATTCTCCAACTACCATCTGTGAACTGGCCAAATCCCTCAACATTTATCAAGATACGTTGATTCAATTCTTAACCCTCTCATGCACAATATTCCCAGCTACACATGACTCTACCCATTTTCAAAATCAATGAACTAAAACAACTAAAAACTGATGCCATGCTTGTCACTTTGGATGTCTCTTCTTTGTATACTAATATCTTCCATAACGAAGGTATTACTGCTTGTAGGAATTTCCTTACTAAACAACACCAAACACAACATAGATAATGTTTGCACCATTATTAACTAAATTCTTAAGCACAACTATTTTACATTTAATGGGGAGTTATATTTACAGACCAAAGGGACAGCAGTGGGTACCAAAATGACTCCTAGTTATGCCAACATATTTATGGCCGACTTGGAAGAACGCATGTTATCTAGTTTTCACCTACAACCTACATTCTACACTAGATATATAGATGACATATTCATAATATGTGAACATGGACACGCACTCATCCAGTTTAAAACACACATTAACAGGTTTCATCCTAGCATCAAGTTCACACTAGAATCATTGAATTCCCAGATCCTGTTTCTCGATATAACATCTAGAATTAGCAATGGTACCATCTCGACATTCATATATATTAAGCCCACAGACAACCATGAATATCTACACTTTGATAGCTTTCATCAGGGGCGGATTTAGTGGGGCCAGGATAGGATAGTGTTGTCTCAATTGTTTACAGTCAATGTCTCCGTTTTAAACAACTTTTTTCTGATACAACCGACTACCACAACCAGCTATCCACACTCATATCTCATTTTGCCAAATGCAGCTACCCACTCCGTTTAATCTAAGCTGCTGTGGCTAAAACTACACAGCTGCTTAAATACAACGAAAAACCAAATAGCAACCGCATACCTTACTATTAGACTACAATCCTCTTACCAAATCACTCACAGATGCCATTAAAGCAGATAACAAAACACTCAAATCAGACCCACCCATAGCTCAACTTTATGACACACCACCCATAATCGCATGCAGACAACCCCCTAATTTTAAAGTTTAGAAGAATTATATATATATATTAGAGAATACATATATATATTTGAATGTGCTCAAGTTATTTTTGTTTTGAATAAATTTAATTGAATGATGATTATTGTTCATTTAAGGTTCATTGTATCGCTGAAGTTGAACGTCGGGGTCTAATGGAAGAGGGTGTCTATCGTGTACCTGGATCAGAGAAAGCTGTTAAAGATCTAAAAGAGAAAATCCTACGAAGCAAAGGAAATCCACAACTTGTAAGAATAACTAAATAAAACCTCATAATTTAGCAGCTATCTCAAAATTCTTCATACTTTCTTAATATTAACAATTTTGTATTATTTTCTTTTTTATAATAGGAGAAGGTGCCTGACATTCATGTAGTTTGTGGGACATTGAAAGATTTCCTCCGTCACCTTGATGAGCCTTTAGTTACATACAAACTTCACAAAGCATTTATGAATGCCACAGGTAAGCAAGGTTTTTCAAACAGCCCATGACCAAATACTTTTAATAATTTTGAATTTGTATTAGCTCTTTTGGTGATGGTGATTGAACAGTTGAATCGGAGCATTCCCGATTGCGTTGGGGATAGCTACGGAGTTCAAGGATTGCAGTGAAAATGCTGTAGCGACTGTAGCAAATTTTTTTGGAAACCAGGCTTAAAGCCCAGTCGTCCGTGAGAATGGCTTGGCCTTTTGTGACCGCATTGTGCAGGAGGGATTAATAGGACCTGGGTGGTGAACATCTCACCATCCTATGGGATGGGTTTTATGCCTACATCTTCCCTCCCTGTCCCTTCTGACCAGAGTCCTTTCTCACATCCACCGCCACAGGTGCCAGATTGTGTTCATTACTGTGTTGTGGCCACATTGTCTTGACATACGTACTTGGAATCCAAATGTAAAACAGGATAGACACAAACTGGACAAACTGACAAAGTTATTTGGAATCTAAACCCCCTTTCAGACAGAGCTGCAATACCGCTATGTTGCGGTAAGCACGCCTGCATGATTTTCTGTCTGAAAGGTCGATATGCCGGCTCACTTTAGACCACCTTGGCAACTAGTAATGTTGCCGCAATAATGCAGTAACCGTTTCTGGCTTGCTCTGTCTGAAAGAGTCTACTCGATATTGCAGCAATCAAGCCGCCATGTGCATTTATTCATAAAAAACAAGGTTAAAGTTGAAAACAATTGCGCGGTTGTATTTAAACTGCAAATAATACACCATTTTATAGGACCCTTTCAGACAGAAAAGCGCAAGTTTATTGCAATATTGTGGTAAAGTGTGAAAGAGTATAGACCTGTTTATGCAGGCATGCTTACCGCAATATTGTTGCAACGTCTATCTGAAAGGGGCTTTAATGTCAAACAGGCTGAGGGTAGACCCAAACTGGACTAGGCTGGTAAATGGCAAATTATTACATAATTATTATTATTATTATCATATATGTAAATTGTTGTTATGTTGTGTATGATGTATCAATATTGAAATGTTCAAATTAAATCATGCTTTAATTGATTTATATTTGACAGAGTATTCAGACAATGAGGATGGCATTACTGCAATTTACCAAGCTATCAGTGAGTTGCCCCAAGCCAATAGAGATACCCTGGCATATCTTATACTTCACCTTCAAAGGTAATCAAATTCAATTTATAAATGATTAATAATTTTTAAAAGTGTTATTTTCCCAAGTAATCAATGAGTTGTCTAAACAGATAGAGGCACCAGTGGCATATGTTATACAGTAAAACAGTAAAAAACTTACATACCTTTCAGGACCAAGGCCTACGTAATGGGCATGTCATAGTTTTTTTTAACTAAAAGGACACATTCTTCTATCAGATAATCACAAATCACCAGAGCATGAGGTCATTATTAGGTGAAATTGTAGAAAATTACAACATTCACTGTACATTATATAAACTGAGAAAAAGTGAAAGACAGTGTATTTCAGACAATTGGTACCCACAAACATGTCATAATGCTGCATTAATTGTAGAAGGTTCACTCTACTTTATATAAACTGGGAAAAGATATTAAAAATTTTAAGGTTGCATTGTACTTGTAGAGGATTATTTACAACATTCACTGTACTTTATATAAACTGGGTATTAAAAGGAATTAATCAGGCCTAGAAATTTACTTTTTAGCCATTAGGAACCTATTGCTAAAATTTGCTAGTTGTGAAAAATGTAATTAGCAAAATGAGTTCTCAACTAGTAAAATATATTGATACCAACCCAAAATATTATTTTTGGAAAATAAATTGTATGAAACTAACACATGATGTACTATAAATTTGTGAGTTAAATGTTGTAATATAATATTTTCTGTTATGGTGAGTGTAGTACAAAAAATATCAAAATGAGTATAAGCAATAGAGGGATTTAGCGATGATTGTTTACAGGCAGTCACGTGATCTAACATGGGTATACATGAAAAATATTACAGTTTGATAGCCTAGTAAAAGATAATGTTATGGTTGCAAAAACAACCACCCACTGTTAGCATGAGAAGTAGGAAAGGCAATATGATTGTTCGAAATAGTGTTTATTTACTTATCCTAGTGTTTTCCCTGGATGTATGCTTTGAAATTTAAGCGATTCTTCATAAACCTTAGATGGCCCTAAAATTGCCACGTAGTTCGTGGTTCGAAGACCATCATGCATACCCAACCATGCCGTAGATGTGCAGGGGCCTATGCCTAACATTTGGCGAAAAATCTTAATGTTTCCGGCGAGTATCCTGTACAGCATACCAAATCATTAACACATCATTCTTAAGTTTAATTTCCAATCAGTTTGGTATAGTTTACTGGGAGTTATGATTATCCGACCGCGATAGCAATCTCCATGTAAAACACCACTGTGTCAGTGCATTGTTTATACCCAACACCCAAGTTAGGTCATGTGACGCCAATCGCTAAATCCCTCCATTGATTTCTATACCTTGTACATTTATTCATTGCAGTTTCAGAACATTTACAATGTGAAAAAAAAATCACAGATACAAAATAAATAAAAATAAAATGGAATAATACAGTTAAACAGTCGAATAATTTCTTATTTTACGTGCAAAATTGTTGTTTTCCAATAATAATTAACAATCTGTAAGTTAAATTTTATCTAAGTCGAACAATTTTGCAATGTCATTTTGGATTCGACTTAGGCAAGTTCAACTGTATATTATATACTTAATTTATTTTTTTTAAATAAATTAATTATATAATATATTCAATTTTGTTTAATGTACAGTATCTGTGATTTTTTTTCGTATTTAAGATGTACTTCTTATATATAAAATAAAATTTATTTTTTAATAATTTTATATTATATTATTTCAGTAAAAATTCCAATAAGAGGGACACAGTTATTAAGTACTCAACTGATAGATAAACACGGGAAAACACTTTTTATTATATTTTAGGCAATTTTAGGCAATAAGTCAATACAGTACAATACCATCACTATCTTTATCTCTTTAATCTAAAATATAATGATGATAATAATAATAACTTTTATAATACTTATATAACATAAAAGGATAACTATATTTTTCTAGCGCCATCATCAGTGTGAAGTATATCCGATTCACTATCATAATTATCTTTATCATCAAAATAAAATTGATATTATATAAAAATTGCAGTCCTACAATGTTACCATACAAGTGGTATAGTTAATAATATTATTATTATAATTATGAGAATATTTATATTGCTAAAAAAAATTAAGCTGCTAGTTAAATTTAATACAGGGGTTTATTTAAGAGCCGGTGGCCGGCGCATTCGATCGGCTACTACGATGTTTTCGCTGGCTACTTCAATCAATGCTGTACAAAAATTAATACAAAAACCACCAATATAAATAGCGCAACAGGCCTGTAAAGAACCTTATTTACCTACACAAAGTTAATTTGCAATAGTATGCACTCATTTCAGTGTTCCTTTCTGTTGAAAGTTCGTTAAAATGTCTACCAATTTTCAGACTCCATGTTTGACTTTCATGAACTCGCGGCGTAAACAAAGATAAGTTCAAAGTTCGGCAGTCGCGCCTGGGTGAGTCCATCAAAGAAGCCACGCCTCCAAATCATATGTTAGCCAATAAGATAATAAAAATTTCTCCTCCACCACCACGTACTCAAGTGATGACGACATAAATCAACCAAACTCTTTTTCCATACATTGGGTTTCCGGGTTTTTTTACCGCGGAGAAGAAAAAAACAGATCGTCATTTAAAATTAATTTGTGTATGACTATGAACCTTTTATTTTTCATTTCATTTTTATTTTACTAGGCCTCTTTGTGATGACATAGATATTTCGGAAATGATACTAATTTTAAAAAAAACCAACACTGGCTCAAATTCGTTTACACTTAGTAGCGGAGGTAGCAAGCCGAACCAACTATTTTGAATGCTGTTTACACTCACAATTTCAGAGTCATAAATAGTACAATGATTAAAACGGCAGAGCAACCCAAAATCGTCTCAATTCACATCATCACATGAGGCATTTTTTTTCCAATGTGGTATCCATTCCTTTTCGATGTCTGCGTAAATTTTAGAACTATTTTTTGCTCTCCTTAGATGTTTTCTTCAACGCATCTAGGGCCCGGGCATAGGCCTAAATGGTGAATCCCCACAAATTTCAACATGTTTGTGAAAAGTAAACAACTTCATCATTATAAAAATTGTATTTTCAATTTATTTTGGTGGATTTTATTAAATGTGTATAAACTTTAAAAAGAATGTATTTCAATTATTGAATCAATATTCTGACCTTAAATTCTGATGTTGAGCTCGAAAAATTGGTAAATTCTAGGCCTATTCTAAACTACTCAGTATACTAATCAAGAAGGTTCTGATCATCACTGCATGTGATTGCACATGTGCAACCACTGTGCAGTGTATACTAAGAAGTTCAAATGGGAAACTAATTTTCCGTAACATATGACATACCACGATGTTCAATCATCATCAATCAATGTGTTTGAATCGATATTAGGCCTACAGGGAAATAATTTGTTAATAAAACATTGATAAACATTGTTAATTTTGTAGGATGCTTGAATACCATACAAAATTAAGGAATATCATATGAGTGAGTCTGTATGTGTGTAAACTTGTCTCTTTCTTATCTGTGCCTGGGATAGCCAGCTAAGTCCTGGTCCTAGCAACTGAGGAAAATTAACAAATAATTTAAATTAACAAATAATTAATAAATTTTAATGTACATTATACAATTCTATCTCTTTGTAAATAAATTAAAAATTAATGATAATTAATAATTTAAGCTATATTTTGTACTGTATGTTTAAATTTGTATATTTATAGGCTAGGCCTATGTATGAAGAATATGTAAAAATATCAACTTTTTTACAGGTCAGTAGTGTTCTGTAATCTGTTTAAGGGGGGATGTAGATAGAGGTGCTTGACACCTGTTCATCCCCTCCTTTTCGCTGCTTTTTGTCTTGTTTTTGAATTGTTCTTGTATTTTTGCAGTGATGAAGTGTAATAAATAAATGAGGTAGGCTGCAGGCTTATGGCGCCTAAGCCTGCCTAGGCCTAGATACTGTAGCCTACACAATGACTGTAGGCCTATCTAACCTAGGCCTAAACTCACGATACGATATTTTTAGCTATTGTATGATATTCCTCTCATGAATTAAATTTTGGCTTTTGAGATTCGCGAAAGTTTAATGTCGCGAAAACAGTATCTATTTAGGCTAGGCCTATGTATGAAGAATATGTAAAAATATCAACTTTTTTACAGGTCAGTAGTTGATTCTGAGAACTTTAAAAAAAAATGTAGATAGAGGTGCTTGACACCTGTTCATCCCCTCCTTTTCGCTGCTTTTTGTCTTGTTTTTGAATTGTTCTTGTATTTTTGCAGTGATGAAGTGTAATAAATAAATGAGGTAGGTTGCAAGCTTATGGTGCCTAAGCCTGCCTAGGCCTAGATACTGTAGCCTACACAATGGCTGTAGGCCTATCTAACCTAGGCCTAAACTCACGATACGATATTTTTAGCTATTGTATGATATTCCTCTCATGAATTAAATTTTGGCTTTTGAGATTCGCGAAAGTTTAATGTCGCGAAAACAGTATCTATTTAGGCTAGGCCTATGTATGAAGAATATGTAAAAATATCTTTTTTACAGGTCAGTAGTTGATTCTGAGAACTTTTAAAAAAATGATGTAGAGAAATGCTATCAAATGGGCTTAAAAACTCTAAAACCCTGGAGCGCAATGGCGCTTCGCCCCCTTGACCCCTGACCAGGGCTCTGCCCCTGGACCCCAGGCATCCCCCTTTACCCCGGCCTATTACCATTTGTTTCGTTTGAATAATGAATGACAGGAGTCGGCATAAATTAATCGGTTTGCTTTATTTCAAACAAGCACCAGCAGTCAGGTTCGAAAACCTCTAATAAACAAAACATTCAAAGAAATGCAAAAAATAAGCTAAACATGCATATTCAATTCATATTCACTAAACACCGACGTTGGCGGCGTCCTCTAACTCCAGCTACATGTTATACTCTCGCGATCACAATCAATGTATTTTACTATAGCATAACAAAATCAATAAATAACAATTAACTCTTCTATAGTTATTATCTGATTAATCAGTACCACATGAGGTATCACTAGAAAAGCCATCAATCACATATGTGAGCTGGAAACTTAAATCGTAAACATGAGCTAGTATTTGTGACCCAAACTCACAAACGGGCTGTAAACTCGCACTGCACTGTATTGAGAAACAAGCCTCAATACCCAGAATAGGGCGTAGAACATGAATTTTTTTGTGAATTTGGTTTTTGTGTAATAAAGTATAACTATTAATTTTACTATTCCTGAGGTTTGAGTTTAAAATTCCAAATGTAAGAGGTAAAATTTAGCCATTTTCGGATGGGAGCTAATGAAAAATGAATAGAAAGCATTTTTCTCAAAACTTGATTTAAGAAAGTTGATAAGATGACAATTATTTAAACGTTCATAACTTTGCTTCCAGACACCCGATTGAGTTTATTTAACTGTCATTTTAAAGTAAATGATATGTTCTATGCCATTATAAGAAAAATTCATTTTGGCCTGAGGACGAGTTTACAGCCCGTTTGTGAGCTTGGGTCACATTTAGGCCTACACATTGTACATCTACACACGTGATAACAATTAACTCCGGCCAAAAGATAATTAGCCCTAGACTAATCCCGTAGGTTGAAACTAGTGCGGCAATAAACCTACGCTAGCTCACCTTACAACAGTACGGTATTAACATGAATAACGGGAAAGCATCTGAAACGTTCTATCTATATGAATCTACTATGTGTTAATTAATTACTCACGTCTAGCACCTCTTAACTTATACCATTATAAACGAAATCTCACCCCTATAGAAACACTGAGGGCGCCAGATACTAAATCAAATTTCGCACTCTGCGAAACACCATTTCTTTTTTAATTTTTCCAAGTCTGGAACAAACTTCGTAGTCCCTTCGACGACAACATACCCTTTGTACATGTGATTGCTGAGCATGTCACAGTTGACTGCACAAGCTTGCCCAGACTCGCTCTGCATGCTGTCGCTAGCAGGCTACTACAGTAGGTGGTGCTCACTCAGCCAGCTGGCCACTAGCGATGTAGATGATACATCAATTCTAGCGGTGGTCGTTTCGCCCCCCCTTAGCCGTAACAATAGCCGATGCGTGAGCGATTAAGTTTTCTGTTTAAACTTTTCATTCATATTTTATTTTAATTTGTTTTATTTACTAGGCTAGTTACAAGATATTTTGTTTAGATATTCCAAATAACAATCATTTTTTTTTTATTTGCTGGTTTGTGAATGTTTACCTAGCAATTATGACAAACCTACTAGCAAATTTTGAGCCCTGATTGTATTTGTAGAAGATAAGTTACAACATTAACTGTACTTTATATAGACTGGGTAAAGAATAGCATAAGGCTGCATTGTAGAAGATTCATCAATTCTCTGCTTGTTTTTAATTAGAGAATGTATATTATAACATTTATCGTTTAAACTTAAGAATAAAGTAGACTAATTTTTGACTATTTTTTATTTTCTTTTCAAGGGTTACTGAATGTCCAACATGTCGTATGCCATCGGCAAATCTTGCAAAGGTTTTTGGACCAACTATTGTAGGACATTCATGTGCTGATCCTGAGCCAATGGTCATGTTAAATGACACCAAGAAACAACCAAAGGCAAGTAACATTTCAAGTGTAAAGTCTCAATGTTTTATTAAACGAGAACACAATCAATTAATAAGCAATTAATGTATCATACACTGGTGGAAGTTATTATAGTATGAAGATTAGGTTACTGCATGAAAGCAAAATCTAACCTATAATAATCTAGTGTGAAATAAGCACAATACTAATTGCTGTACAGTGGAATCTCTGAATACCGACCAGGGATGTAATTGTGCAGGGCGGAGCCGCCCTGCCTAAAAGTCTACCGCCCAGCCTAAAGCAAAATTTAATGCCTTCTGCCCAGCGTCAAACGTACATATCCGCCCATCCCGAATTCTTACTTTTTTCGCGAGATATCATCACATATTCCTAGCCTCAAACCTCATGCAAGCAGCCTAGCAAATAAAACAACATCGGAAAACCAACCAAGTGGAACTGCCAGGCTTTAGCGCTGATTGGACGCTCACGTTCTACTTGACTGAACAGTAAACTGTGTGATCAGCTGGAAATTGCGTCCTATCAGTCACGTGATTTGTATGCGGTATTGAGTTTGTTATTGTTTTGAACGCTCGAGTTAATACACTGTAAAGATGGCCGAAGCGAGTGTAAATCGCTGAATGTCTGTTGTAAACGACATCAGAATTGCAGTGTCTGTATTTTTAGAAGTGAAATTTCTTTTACCAAATCACTGACAAACGTTCCAACATTTATGTCGGAGAGGTTAAGCCAATATACATCAAAAGGAGTAAAATATAGCGATGGTAAAACTTGGACATTTTTTAAAGAGAAGTAGGCCTAGCCTATGTGGGGATTGTGAATGATTTTCCGTACGCTGTGCGCTACGCGACCAGTGGCAATCACTGATCGGAAGGCTAAGAATAAAGCATAAAATCACAGCTTACTGCAGACATTTTTTTTAATGTACAGCGACAAAGTGTTACATGAATGCCAGTTATATACTACAGGCACATTTTTGAATTAGTTTTCATATATATATATTCTCAAATATATTACTTAACATCTGTTCATGATTACTGTACAATTTCGCTATTCCCGCATCCAATGTTTTGATTTTATACCGCATACAGATCACGTGACTACCCTGGTAGCAGCAAGCGCAAAGTGTCAATTCGCGTGTTAGCGGTGCTATGGTTAAACAAAAGAAATAGAATGAAGGAAGAAACATTAGATGCGATCATGAGAATCGTAATTGAAGGCCCAACACTAAAAGAATACCCATTTAAGAAAGCTGTAGAGGCTTGGGCCCAGTAAGAAAAATCGTCGCATTAAGTTGGACTAAGGCACACATAAATACCTCAAAGCGCGATAAATTAAGTATAAAGTTATAATTCTGTTTGATATCATCATTATACTGTTTGTTACATCGGACCATGATGTATTCTGACCATATTTATACACAAAACGCATTGTCTCATTGTTTCCCACACGATGATTAACAACTATTTCCCACGCTACGACTATTTTTAACTCTCTGGGTTTTCCCATGTAGTGCGTCAGACCTCCA